ATAATACAGTAACAAGTAAGGTTACAAAAAGTGTTTACTGTCTAAGGTTGCTCTAGTTACCTACTATCTTAAAAGAAATAGATATAGAATAACAATAGATTCTTAATCAGGTTGAGATCAGGAGACAAAAAAAGCCAATCAAAAACTTTTGAATACTAAGGCTTCAATAGAGCCTTTATTGTTTTGGCAGTATGTTTAGGATTATTATCCTGTTAAAATGTCTAATTATTTCCTAAAATCTCAGCTGTTTGCTTAAACAAATAGTTTGTCAAAATCTCACAATATCATTTACTATTTATAATATTAGTAAATGTATGAAAACTAACAATTCCTTTTTTACAAAATGCACTCCAAACATGAACCTTAAATGAATTTTTAACAATTACTTATTTTGGCACAGGTTTACTGACCTTATACTGAATCTAAAGCATATTTCAGAACATCTGAAAAGTAGACTCATCAGAAAAAATAATAGTATTCTATCTTCTTCTCTTATATTTATATGCCCAAGCAATATAATAAATCATAGCCTCTTTTTTGAGAAGAAAAACAGCATGAAAAACAGAAACTTGATAACCAAGCCCCTAAAGATTCTCTTGAACTGTTTTTGGTATAATATTAAGACTAGTATAAGTATTGTTAAAGGTCTCTGCTAGTTCTTTACTTGTTATAGTTCTGTCATCTACTGTGATTTTGCCAAGGTGCTTTCTTTGTGCAAGACCAAGAAGTTGTGAACATCTTAGATGTTTACTTAGCTTAATATTACTATTTTCAGTAAGTTGTATGATCTATTTATATAAAGTTTTACTGGAGTATCTAGTTAATTTTTGCAACTTTGAGACTTCTTTATATCTGTGTTCTTACAAAAACTTAATTAGAATATTTTTTTTTTAAACAAAGTCATTTTATAAGAAAAAAAAGTTTGCAACATTACAAATTACTAATTTCATATTTGTGAATCATATGATAACTATATTTATATCAGTATAATGAAGTTTAATTTTTTATCACATGATTTTTTAAAAAAAAAAATTATCATAATTTTCTGCTATTACTATAATTGTGAAAATGAGTAAATATGAATAGAGCATTAATGTATATTATTCCTATTTTATAAATTATTATATAAGCAATAGTTTGAACAACTAGGCAAACATATTTTAATCTTTTTGCATTTGTGTTGATAATTATTTTCATTATCTGCATAAAACATAATTTATGATCAATAAAGTTTATTTTTTCTAAGCCTAACTCATATTTCTTTTATATATTTATAATTTTTGGTTATAAGTTTGATAATAACTTTAATTCAATTAGTTGATTTTTTGTTTTCAGTAACCTTTTACTTTATAAAATCAGCAGTACCTTTAATATGACAAAGTGTAATTAATTTTTTTTTCATTAGTTAAGGTGTTTGCAAATAATTTTAAGACTTTAAGTAAGTATTTTTTTTAAAAAAATAATTTAATCTATATGATTTAGCTACATGATCAAAAAAAATAGAAACTGTATTACCTTTATTAATAATTATCTGATTTTTTAAAGTTATCATCACAATTATTCTTTAATATATATAATGGTGTTATAGGATAGATTTCTATTATTGTATTATTTATTAGTTATAGTTGCTTTAATGCTTTAAAACATTTAATGCCTT